TGCTACAATTTTGGCCATATTCAATATATTTCAATAAATATATATACTGCATGTTGAAATGCGTTTTTATTACAAAATATATGAAATATATTTTTAAAAATACATTTCAAATATACTGTATGTCTTTTAAAAATACAAATCTTCATTTTTGGAATGCATTTCAAATATATGTAAAAATATATGTTAAAATTACTTTTTTTATATGTTAAAAAAAATCTGAAGAATATATTTAAAGCCAATATATTTTTAAAAATATATATATATTTTTAATATTCTTCAGGTTTTTTTTTACATATAAAAAAGTCATATTAACATATATTTGTAGATGGATTCCACAAATTAGTATTTTTGAAGACATACAGTATATTTGAAATGTATTTTGAAAAATATTTTTCAGATATTTTGAACTAAAAACTAATTTCAACATGCAGTGTGATATATATATATATATATATATATATATATATATATATATATAAATTTTATTATTGAAATATATTGAATACGGCCAAAATTGTAGCATTTCAAATATATGTCAATATATTTCGGAAGAATATTTTTAATATATTTCTAATATATTTTTCTTCCATGTGGGGAAGGTGAGTATACTTCTGGGGACAGGGAATATCAATGAACCTACTGCTTTGCCCTACAAACTAAAGCATAGGTTTCCCCCAACCATTTTATAAGCACCTTAACAGTGATCCCTTGTTGCTCTTCTTCAACCAGCCACACAACTTGGCATTTCTGGGTATATAGGAACATGTTACCTCCCCTGTTACCGTGCTCAGATCGATCAGCCAGTTTCTAGACCTGAGCACTGCCACATAACCAGGGCAGTGATGTCACCACTCACCCAAGCAGTCGACGCCAATAATTTCTGTAACAGGTGTGGAAGTGCTTGTGATTGCTAGTAATTTTAGTAAAGGGGGTTTGAGGGGTGGCTTTGCAAAGTTACTTTGTTATTGGAAAGCCGAAAATCATAGAAGTACTGTGTATCCAAAGTTATTTCTGTAAAATAAAGATTTTGTGCAAGTTTTGAAAGCACTTTAAAGTCGCTATACTGCGTAAATGTATAAATATTAGGAACATTAAACTGACCAAAAGCCATTATGATTTCCCATTAATGATTTTTATGTTTCCATCATCTCCTGTGGCACTATTAAATGTAATTGATGCAAACAAGAGTGAGAAATAAACATAATGCAAATACTAAATTATGCATTAAAGAGGAACTCTAGTCTAATGGAAAAGCAGGATATTGTTTTTTAAATGATTAGCTGTTAATATAACTGTCTGAAAGAGGCACAGGGACATTATAAACTGTAAAGGATCATTCATAGCATGCAGCAATTTCAGTGCAATGAAATATTCTGCTTCTATGATTTGTTTTCTTTCAGAGAAGAAATTATTTTTCTGAAACAACAAACAGGTTCAGTTACCTTGCCAGTTTACTGCAAATATTAATACGCATCTTAGAATAGGTTTTTAAAAAAATTTTTAAGCAAATATGTAAAATATGTGCTTGACGTAAACAATCATCTCAGTATGTATTAATATTTAAAAAAACATGAATTATTTGTAGTTAGTAATGGCCCACTCACTGAAAACAATGCTCTTCCTATGTGGCAGAACAAGTAGGTAAATACATGAAAGTCATATAAAATATTAACTATACAGTGTAACTAAAGGCAAAACTTTTTTTTTTTTCCTAGTTTTGGGTTTTTATGCCAGAGATCAGGTTTGGGCTACAGTGGCTAAGAGCTCAGGTCATGTAGTGACTGTAGAAGCCAGATAAAAACTCCTTCCCCATTGGTGACTGGTTCCCTTGAGGGTCACTTGTTCTGTTCCAGCCTACTCTTTATTTATTCTTCATTCAGTTTTCACAGATGCTGCACCGATTGGCTTGTTTCAGCACGTTTGGTGGGACAATTCAAACGTTAAAAGTTTTGGGCCAGAGATTATGATCTCCTATACATGGTTACTGGTGTAGCCTTTTGCAGGAATCCATATGAACCCCCATTTTAAATAACCTAAAGCCTGTACTAACACCCAAATTAAATCCCCTGCAATGCTGTCTGTAGAGGGCAAGCACTGGTTCTCTCAGGTTATGTTCCTTGAGAAACCTACTGCTATACAAACTACCACTGTGACAAAATTTGGGCGCTGTTGGTCAAGTCCTAACTACCTTCTACTTTCCATTGAGTCTCTCTGAGAAGCTGAACTTTACCGAACCCAATTAGGGGTCTGATTCTTAAGCCTCACCATTTGGGGTGGCAGTTTTGTCCACCATCCCTTATTTCCCCCTCCACCTTCTCCACCACCTCACCTTCCCAAACACACTTTTCTCTGCTTTTTCCTTTTCCCCTGCTATTCTGCTTCTGTAGCCCATTGGAAAGTGGGTTCCTAAACTTCAGACAATACCATATGTTGTTTCTTATGTTGCAACCCTATAGAGCATACCGGGGTTTGCTATTCCCGCTATGGGAATAGCAAACCCCGGTATGCTCTATAGGCAAAGCCCGGTATGCTCATTACAGAAGTTGTAAAAAAAAAAAGCTATTTTTTACAACTTCTGTAATGATCTGATCTATCATAGACTAATGAAAGATACATTGCTTTGTTAAATGTGTCAACATTGCATTCTGTTGTAATCTTGCTCTGCTTGGGTTACGCTATACCCTACCAATGTCCGAATCCATCATATGCCTGTATTTTTCTACTTTTTGAAAATGATACTTACCTGAAGGTCATACTTACCTGCTCTGTTTAATAGTTTTGCACAGAGAAGCAGCCATGATCCTCCTCTTCTCGGATCCCCCACCATCATTCCTGCCCCCCCCCCCTGCTGTGTGCCCCCATATCAAGCCTCTCTCAAGCCCCGATCCCTCCTTCCTCACTGGCTGTGACTGACAGCAGCATGAGCCAATGCTTTCCGCTGCTGTGCCTGAGCCAGTGGGGAGGGAGAGAGCCCCTGCTGCCATGCACATCGCTGCATTGAGATCGGGCTTAGGTAAGTATTGAAGGGGCCGAGGGGGGAGCTGCACACTGGAAGTTTTTTACATTCATGCATAGAATGTATGAAGGTAAAAAACCTTCAGCCTTTACAACCACAATCACTGGGTTTGGGCTTTAATGTCTTTGTCTTTTACCTAAAGTCAATTTAAAATGAAATGTCCACTTGAATCAAATAAATGTGTCTCTTTAAACTCTTAAAAAGAAAAATCATGTGAGAATAACAATCAGAAATTGACAATAAAAAGTAAGAAATCACCCCTATGGTTTAATAAAAAACACAAAAACATATAAAGTTCTTTAAATCAGTGGCATAAAGCACTATATATATATTTGTGCTTTTATGACACTGTTGCTGTGATTTCTTATTTCTTTATTGTCAATCTCTAAATGTTATGTGCACATTATTTTTCTTAATTAAAAGTTTAAAAAAAGAGCGCAGCACATTTATTTGATTCATATGCTTTGCATTGTTAGTGTTCGGACAATAGTGAGTCCTGCTGTCTTACATTTATATATTTTTTTTTGTACTCTGTTTATTAAATGTCCATTTTTAAGACTGCCCTGTACACAAGGTGATAACACTGCTGTGTGAGGTTACTCTGTTCATGGAGTTGGCTGGATCCTTAAGTAACAAAACTATGTTACATGGGGGATACAGGAAAAACAGAAACTGCTGTGTTAATGCTTGTAGCAGACTACATCATATACAGTATGACCTTTTTCATTTTAACCATAATTTAACTTACATTCAAAGAGATTAAACAACTATAGAAAATGTTTTATTACACTAGGGCTGTAGACTGACCAACAACTTTATTGAGTGGGTATGGGTTAGAACCTCTTTCAGGTTTTTAATGCTGTTTCTGAAACCATTGAAGAGAATTTCCCCTTACTTCCCGTGTGTTCACCAAGACAGAATGTAAGTAAAATAATTAATAAGTGAAGGATTCAGTGGGGAAGAATAAAAACATTCACCAGGTTCTTGCTATCCAAAACCCCCGTTGTACTGAGCAAATCTCTAGTACAAGTAGACACAAAATGATAATTAAATCCTGATGAAAGTATAGAGCTCCCCACACTAAACAAAACAAAAAAGTAAATGCATATAGTAAAGGATGCCGCGCCACTTATACACTCCTATGTATGTGTTTATCATACAAGAATTACAGTACCTACAGATGCATTAATAGTCATGTGCATTATAATGTACAAAATTCCGATATACAATAAATCATGCCCAGTACTCATAAAAAAAAATTATATAGAAAATAGTACCAATAATATATAATCACTTCAAATGACTCAGTCTATTATAATACACAAATGCAATAAGAGAAAGCGTCACTTAGAGTGATTATATATTATTCAGACTGTTTTTTATTTTGATAAATGAATATACAATACCCACGCTTAACCGTGGCTGAAGGCCAGTGCTCTGACAAAAGTGTTCCAACACTTAACCTCCCTAGCGGTCTGATTATGTCCATATTTCTGTGCTCAAAGCGGTAAATTTTTTTGCATGGAAATATGTAGTTTTTTTTATTGTAGGCCTGTAATTTTTAGGAGTAACTCACTGAAATCTGTCTGAACAAGAGTCTAGTAAACATCCCGGGTATGTTACAATTTGAAATACAAAATCATAAATTATAATTTAATAATCATAAAAAATAATGATATAATAATTTTAATTCAATAATATAATCAAACCAAAAAACACTGAAATTTGAAATATAGCGCCAAGTTCGCACATCACTGAGCAAAGTCGCAAAATCGTTTTCAGTGTCTGATGACGAATTTTCCCACGAATCATTATCACTCAATTCTGCAAGTGGTTCTAATTTACTATCACTGTTCTCTAGCTGGTCTAAAACTGCTTTTGACCTAAAGGGACGCTTTTTGGACGCCATGGACATTTCTCAGTTTACAGGCAGAAAGAACAGTAAAAATGCAGGCAGGGCACAGGACAAAGCACTCGGGACAAAATGTATGTGAAATGGTTTGATACAGTAATGTTTTACTATGTGATTTTAGTGAATTTAGTGAATGTCACTTTTTGTCATTTTCAAATTTCCCACCATTCCATCCCCGTACGTCCCGACGCTCGCAGGGGACGGAACCCCAATGACAGATGCCGGCATCCGCCGGATTACATTGCTGGGGACACTTTAGGAGGGACATCGCGGGAGTGCAGGACAAGGTAATAGAAGAACAGATCCCGGCGCAGCACCGCATGGTAAGCCCGAGTGTAGCTCGGGGTTACCGCTTGTGGTATTGAAACTTTACCCCGAGCTACACTCGGGAATACCGCCAGGGAGGTTAAGCAAAGTAGTCCATAATAGAATTAAGCTGACATTTGGTATGATCCATAAAACCGAGAATCTTTATTGGCTATGACGTCCTCTCAGAAGGCGCAACTCAGGTGGCCACGGGGCCACGCAGTGGTGCGATCAAAGCGACGACTGACCGCTACACCGGCCCACTGCCAGTGTCACGTGATTGCTGTGACCAATCACAGCAGATCACATGACAATTTTAAACAATGGATGGCTTCCTTTCATGCCATCCATTGTATACAATTGTGTTAGCTGTGATTGGTCACAGAGATCACATGGTACAGACAGGGCCAATCACATCCCATCTGTACCATGTGATTAGTTTTGACCAATCAAGCTAATCACAACAAAAGACACTAAATAAATCAGTTTCATTCAGTAAAAAAATATTTCTTATATCAATGAAACACATTGATATAAGCAATGATAATATGTAAAAAAAAAAAAAAGAAAAATCTGATCACTTACCCAGAGAAGTACAGTGTTACTATGGTAACACTGGATTACTCTGGTCACAGTGTTAAAAAAAAATAGTAAAATACAATTTAATAAAATATTTAAAAATAAAGAATATTTTTTTTTTTTCCACATTCTGTCACCAGTCAGTGTTCCTCATCACCACCTCGTCAGTTATTGTATTGGACTAGGGACAATATGGCAAAAAAAATTGTGAACATTTTTTTTTTTTAGTTTCTTAATTTTCCAAAAAAGTTTGACAAAAAAAATTACAACTTGCCATGCCTCTTACTAATATTTGGGGGGTATTTGTACTATCCTAGTGTTTTTGGACCTCAAGAAATGAGATAGGCCCTCAGTACATAAGGATTGATAAATTTTCAGATATATACCATAGTTTGTGGACTTTATAACTTTTCTACAGACTAAATAATATACACTGATTTGGGTTATTTTCACCAAAGAAATGTAGCAGAATACAATTTGACCTAAATTTATGAAGAAGGGTTATTTATTTGCTAAATTTTAACACCGAAACTGAGAAAAGCTTTGTTTTCAAAATTTTCCTGGGCAGGAATGGGGTAAAAGTATGCTAACATGTTTAGGCTACAACAACCTGAACTGTTATAGCAGAAACATGTTGGCGTACTATTAATGTGTCTTTACATGTAGCCACTAAAGATTTTTGGTTTTATGGATTGTACCAAGTGCCAGCTTAATTCTATTATGGACTTGTTTCTATTTTATTTAACATTTTTTATTTATTTATGTTTTTAGTAATGGACATGATTAATTGCACATGGGAATTTTGCACATTATAGTGCACATGACTATTAATTCATCACAAATTGATAGTATATAAGTATATAGAATTTGTTGGTGATTATTATATAATAAACAAAGATTGGAGAGTATAAGTGGCGCAGCATCCTTTACTATACTATATTTACTATTTATTTATATGCTATAAATAAATTAAAATGTATTTAAATTTGTGGGAACACAATTAGATGCCTGCAGCCACAGAGTTATGCACACTGGTGGAGTTATAATTTACATTTTGTTTTCAATTTCATTTATAATTTATTTACATTGATAATTTTATCATTTATTACATTTTTATATATAATTTATTTAATTTACATTTGGTGGTGCTGCAGTATTTTCTTTTACATTTTTAAACCCAAAAATAAGTTTTGAATGAAGTTGGGGTTTAGGCAGATCAAAGCACAGACTTCCTGTAATCTTCAGAAAGGTGAAAAATCTAATAATTACAAATTGTAGCACATACACTTCCAATGCACCATAATTCCTGTTAGTACTTTCACATAATTTTAACCAAAAAAGATAAAGGTTTCTGTTTAGACAAAAATATTTTAGTGGTCTTTACAGGTTTTCTGGTTAGAGTCTAGTTGTGTGCTATACCTACGTATATTTAGTTGCTAAAAATGTCTATCCTGAGAGCCAAACCATTTAAAGATGAGACCATGAGACTTTTTTTTTAATAGGCCACCTGGTAATACTTTACAGGGTCTTGAGTTTTTCCAGGATTCAGGTATCTTTTTTTTATGGTCCCAATAAAAGGTATCACAAGCTGTAACCCTTCTCCCTTCTGTTCAACGGAGCGACTGAAAGTCTGTTCAGTCTTCCTTTGTCACAAGCAAAAGTGTAATTTATTATGTGCCATTTCTGGAAGTCAAGCCATTACATTTGGAAGTAATTTCTAATGCCTGGATGAGATATCTGTGTGCTATAAAGCTTGAAAATCACCTATTTTAATTGGTGAAGTTACATTTAGTTGCTTTTTACCTTCTTCATTGTGGTTGTGTTCCAACTGACAGGCCCAGGGCCAGATGTAGAGCTCACATGGGATCCCATTGTGCTGAGCGGGTCTGGTGAGTCACAGGCAGGAAAAGGTAATCACGGAAAGCAGTGCAATAAAGGGAAATGTTTCTAAGTATAGGTGCAAAACAGCAGGAAAATCATTACAGTGACGTTCGCTCTACTCCCAGCCAAGTAGAGTCCAATGTTTTTACTAATGTGAGCTGTTGATGATTTATGTGCCCAATGAAATTCCCAAGTTTTTTTTCTTTTTTTTAGGTGTATGTATAGCAAGGTTTTTTTTAAATTATCTTTAGCTAGAACAGGGAAGAGTTAAAATCCCTCTTAGTTTATTTTTTGCTGTCTTTATCCCTTTGGATATTTCCCTTCTTTTACTGTGCCAGACACACAGCAGGAAGTGAGAGATTTTTTCAAAGTAAGGGAAATTCCCCTTGTGGAATATTGTCACTGAATCACCGATCTTGGCTGGAAAATTTACCTTCACCCATTTTCTGGTGACAACTTTAAACTTGGATTTCTCATCACTTTCTGCCTCATTTACAATAGTCACCAGGAAAAATAGAAAGTATTACACTACCTAGCAGAGATACAGATATTAACCCCTTGACGCTGACGTAACACAAATATGCGGCCTCACAGAACTGTGCTTTTTTCCGTGGGGCCGCATATTTGCATTCCTGTCTTTGTACTGGGCTTTGCGCTCCCAGCACAAAGACAGCTGTGTCACTGGGAGCACTGGGTCCCGTTCTAATGATCAGGACTCGGGACTCCCGATTCTGGGTCACATGATCACTGTGATAGCCTCTGATTTGCTATCAGTGATCAGTCATTGTACAGCCCGGCCCCCTTGCTTTTTGTTGTTTTTTTCCTCTCTATGAATGGAGGAGAGAGATACATTGTATCTCTCTAACTTCTGGCATAGAGGGGAAAAAAAATGTTTGTAGAAAAAAAAAGATAAATATTAAAAAAATAAAGAAAAAATACCTAGATCAAGGTTTGATCTAGTTCAGTGCCAGGGTTAGTGTTTGAGTCAAGGTCAGGGTCAAAGGTCAGGATTTAAAAAAAAAATGGTATCAGTGTCAATGTCCGTGTGCTTTAGGTAAAAAAAAAAAAAGACAAAAACAAAATGCGCACTATTGTTTCTGGGCTGTACTATGGGTACAAACAACAAATAACATACACATGTATGGTATCGCTGCGATCATCAAGAGCTGAAAAATTTATTTGGGTTGTTCTTTGGTGATAGGTTATGGTAGTAATAAGAAACACACAGCTAAATTAAAAAAAAAAAGGGTTTTTTTTTACTATTTTAGGCCAGTTTTCCTTTGATAATAAAAAAAAAATCAGGAGATATCCATTACCATTTACCACCAAATGAAAGCCCAATTTGTCCTGAAAAAACAAGGAATAATTCACCTGGATGTACAAAGTAGTTGTGGTGATATGTACGGTTTTACTAACACGTCAACATTGCAAAATTGTGCTTAGGCATTTAGATTTGTTTTACCCTTAGGCGTGAAGGTGTTAATAAATACTAGACAGGGGGGTTCTAATACTTTCCCAAAATGAAAAAAATATGTTGTCTATGCATACACTTTAAATGTTCAAAATTGGTCTTTATCATACCTAAGAACCTCTAGTGCCAGGGGTATTTTAATTAAAATTCACAAAAGTCCAATCAGTAAAATTTCCTTCCAGCAGAGGTCCGAATCACATGTTTGATTCCTAAAGGCACATCTGTGCACTGGCAAACATGGAGCGTTTTTTGCAAGTCCCAAACCGCATGGTGCCACAGTACCATGCAGCTCGGTATGGCGCCATTTAAAAAAAGGGTCAGGGACTTCTTTCTCTGCGTTTCTGCATATAAGGAAGCTCACTGAGATAAATGGGAAGCCTACACACAGAACGCAATGATGTGAACCTGGTCTCTAATCCTTCACATCACAGTCCTGTTATTACATCAGTGTTCTCAGTTCCCCTGAACCTCATCTCTCCCTTCAGATTACAGTCCTTAGTCCCCCTTCACATTCTTTTTTTTTTTTTTTTTTTTTTTTATTTAAATATTTATTAGTTTTCCATATTATTACAAAAATTCCATAAGAAGAGACACAATACATTTAAATAATCATTACATTTCTACATTGCCCCTTCTAGTAACTCTTTTCTTTCCCTCCCCTCTCAACCCATTCCCACCCCCCTTTCCCCTCCCTCCCCTCTGCAAGTTCTCCGATCTTTCAAGGCCCAATAACTTTAATTAACTTCCTAATTTATACTTTTCTATATTTCTCTTTCAGTCCTGATTTTTCCCATCTCGTATAGTATATTCCCAACCTATCTTCCTGCGTATAGTAAGATTTTTCCATTCTACTAATCTGGTTTACTCTATTGATCCAGTCTTCCTCCTTCGGCACCTCTATTTTCTGCCAAAACTTGGGTTTCAACCCTTTTGCAGCATTTAAATAGTACCATACGCCTGATTCTTTATATTTATTTACTGTTGTCTCAACATTATGTAGGAGACACAACGTTGGGTCTAATCCTATGTCATTTCCAGTTATTATTTCTATTAATTTAACTATTGTCTTCCAAAAAGCCTGAATTTTTGGACATTGCCACCATATGTGAAACACCGTGCCCACCTCCCCACAACTTCTCCAACACATTTTAGAAATTTCCCCACTCATCTTGTGCTCA